TGCAAAACACATTTCAAAGTGACAATTCTTTTCGCTCCATTGAAGCGGCATCTATTTATCGAGCTTTCTTCTTTTTCCAATTCGTTTCAGGTGATCGGAAACAACTGACTTGCTTACTGCTTTTTCTGCAAGCTCTCAAACTGTTGCGTGGATCTGCTTCAACTAACATCTTCTAACATCCTCAAGTCATTTTCATCGTCAATGGTCGCACATCATTCAGAACACTCTTCATCTTTAAGGCTCTCATCACTATTATGGAATTTTCAAAACCAGTGTTCGTTAGTTATTATTATTAAAATGTAAAGTGAAGTTTGCGCTTTTATAATGGTAATATTACATAACATAGACATAAAGGAAAAACAACTTCACGTGAAAAAAAGCACCATAAGCATCTTAAATAACAAAAAACGCAATAACCTTCTGGACAATATAATGTATGTAAAGATTATTAGAGTCATTTTTTTATGTAAATTTTTATGTAAGTTTATGTAAATGCCATTCATATCAATATTGTATAATAATGGAATATTTAGTGTCTTTTAATTTTTGTATGTTACGTGATTCTTTCTCTCTTTTTTATTTCTTATGTATATTACTCATTTATAGCTAAAGAGAAATAAGTACTCGAAATAATACTTATATCTATTTAAAGACATTTTGACAATTGCCTATATTTTTTTTAAATTCAGTCTGTTAACAATTTTTTGTTCCTGTTTGCTCATTATTTTTGTGTTATATTAATCCAGTGTATTTATATTTATTTGAATTCTATTGTAACTAATGAAGAAATCGAGAACATGTTCTTTCACGAAAAGAAATATCACATAAATAATTTAAAAAATAAATGAAAAAATAGGCTCACGATAATAACAATTATTTTATAATAACTATTATTATTTCGTAATTATTTTTTTATAACTAAGTAAAAATTGGCAAATAAGAGTCAAGGCGCAGTAATTGGAGTGCAAAAAGAGTTTCTTCTTCCTTCTTCTTTTAATATATTTCAAAATATTCAATTCGTTAAAATATGTATAGTTTAATATACATTAGTTATATTAAAATGTACATTAATTACGTATTTAATTTTTTCTTATCCTTGCAACCGCGTTTGGACTCTTATTTGTCAATTTTGTCACTCACAGTAATAAATAATTGTTTCTGTTATATAATTAACTTATTATTAGTGTTCTAGAGATATTCGCAATTGGATTACCTCTCCTCCAGATGATCCGCCAGACGTGTACCTGGTATCATAAGGATTACATGTACGGCCGTGCAATAGATTCGAGCTTTCTACTCCACAGCACATCTCCGGGGTGTTCGTCAGGCAAACTGGAATCGCTCCAGCGTTTCGGAGTAGTTTAATGACTAGTGCATCGTGGGATGCCTTCATCCCTTTGCGACCTAAAGAACAGCCTGTATGACTGCAACCTATGACCAAAAGATTCATCTTTGTTTACATCTTCCTTAAATAAACCTCCGATAGTATCCAGTATTTGACCCATCGCACATGAAATCGCATGAGCGTCGATTATTAAGTAGCCATATTGACTTATAACATAATATAAGTATAATATAAGCATGCTCATTAATCATATCCTATGCAGTCTTATCCTATGCATATGCAGCTATGCAACTTCATGTGCGATGGTCTTTTTTTGACAGGAATTAAATTCTTCATATTCCAATAATTTAATCGAATTGACCTATAATGTATCTGAACTATTTTATATTTAGAATAAACTCTAAAATAAAATTTATCGGTTTCCTGGAAGGAAATAAAAAAAAAAAAAAAAATATATATATATATATATATATATATATATATATATGTATAAAATTTATTCCTTCATAAATACACACAGACATACACACACATATATATTTATAATTTTATTTTTATTATAATTATTTATCTTTTAATTATAATTATTTTATCTTTATTTTAATTATAATTATTTTATATATTTTTATTCCCTGTCTCTCCCCCCCCCCCTCTCTCTCTCTCTCTTTCTTTCTCAACTATGATATAATAGATGTCATTTCAAGAATACATACAAATGTAAATTATTGTAATATAATAACAAAAAATTAATTATACCTTTGACAGCACAACATTCCTTGACTGTGACTGGTATACCATACAGCGGTTTTTCCTTCTCTAATGTTTTAATGTCAAACTTGCCGTTTGCTAATTGTTTATCGCAGATTTTCGCCTCGATTATTGCTTCAACGAATCGATAATCGATAACGGCATTTAAGACACAATTCACTTTTTTAATGTGTTGTATATGCGTGTTCACAACATCGTAACATGTAATCTGTTTTTTATAAAAAAGCAATTTTCTATATACTATCTCATTTATTAAATCATTCTCTTTCATGTTTGTATATCGATACGATATATATAAAATATAATTATATAAGGTTACATATAATTTTTTAATAATATAATTTATACATATATATTATTATAGGGAATACACTTACCTCTCTTTGTCTAATTTTTTTAGCAAGTGCAGTGGCGCTAAACGTAAGTAAGGAATCTGTTATTGGTGGAATTCTTTGCGGTTTCTTGCGAATTAACAATACGATCCGATATAGTATTGCATAGATAATATTTAGTATACTGAATATAATACGCAACTTTAACAACATTGTCTGCAAGGTAAACACGTTAATTATTATAAGATAATTATGTTAATTAAGATAATTATGTTATTTATATCTACTTCATTGCATATCATGTTAGGTTAAATTAAGAAAGTTTGTACTTTTCTAGTTTGCCATGTATCGTATATTAGCGTAAAGAAAAATGCACAAGAGATCTAAGCGTTAATTCTTACGCGATAACTTTCTAATTAAAAATTTGTGTCCCTTTTGTAATTACAAAATTATTACAACTTCAATATTTCAATATTAATTTTATATTTAATATTAATTTCAATTATTAATTTAATATTAATTTTTAATTCGAATTAATTTTCAGTATGTCTTATTATATTTTTTCTTATAATTGATTATCGTTTATTAAACAACGGCACATTGTATTTTCTGTTAATAACATTTCATAAGAATATGGAAACAAAGTATTATAAATATATGAAAATATATGCGAAAGTTAAATATCAAAGTATTATAAATATATAAAAATATATGCGAAAGTACAATATCATTTGCAAATCTGATTGCAATAACTCAATGGCACATTCTGATAGATTATTATAAGAAATATACATATAATGTAAAATACATCTTTACGTATATGATATGTTTTCTTTTTAATATCAAAAAAAATTTTTGCGTAACATGAGTTATAAGTAGAAGCAATTTATATTTAAAATATTGAAATGACTCATTAACAGGAACATCATTGCATCTTAATGTTATTTAAATGAAAAGCTAGTACATATGTTTTATCAAAAAATTTATATCTTTATTTCGTATCTCTATACATTCAAGTATGCTAATCATTGACGTTATTACTAATCACTGACGTTATTGAGATTTAATTAACGTTCTCGAATTCTACATACATACATAAAGAATCTTAAGGTCATGGAACAAGATTTGCAATTCTAGGTGGTCTTATCTTCGCCTTAATTTTTGTGTCACGATTCGCGAATAAACGTAACCGTAACTTTATGACAGGTCCTTCGCGCGCAGCCAAACAATGTATCCGTGACAGTTCCTTTCGTAACTGGCCACCTAGATTCTTTTAAACCAATACAATAATGCGGCGTACGAGTCCATCGCATTTATGCAATAGTCCGAGCAAGTCAATATATATTATCTCGCGATCATTATTTGTGCATTATCTTTTTTGAGATACTCGTGTATAATTTATAGCATAATTTACATTTACGACTCCAATTGGATCATAAAAACGATATAATTTTCGAAGATCGGTGTAACCGCAATTATCGCACACGTAACTTATAAATCTACGAAAGGTTATTTTAATATTGTTATTTCACGTTAAATAATTTGCGTAACCTCAAGCTTGTTTCAAGTACAAATAATTGATTTTAATTTAGTCAAAATTGCAAATACGAAAAGTTCTCCTTGTTTTATATTATTTTTTATATTTCATATTATTTCATATTTTATATTTCATATTTTTACATTTTATATATTACATTTATATATTACATTTATATATTATATTTTATATATTACATTTATATATATATATATATTAATTTTTATATTTTATATTTTATTATTTTATTTTTATATATATATCATCTTTCATATTTCATTTTTTATATTTCATATTTTTATATTTTATATAATATATCATATTTTTATATTTCATTCTTTCGTAGGCACTTTCGCGTTTATTTTAAAAGAATTCACGTTTCTTAACTGCGGCTCGTAGCTTTGGTTTTTGTTCTGCATTTTACAACGGCATTTTCCGCGATAGATGGCAGGATAAATGCTCGTGTAAACTAATCAATGCGACCTGGAGATCGCTCTTTGGTCAAGCACATCCGAGATATATTGTGCGCACGGCAAAAATACCTAGACTCGTATCTAACAATAATAAGTATATCTACACGTATTCATACCGCACGTGTTTTGACGCAATACGGAAAAAACTTATGCAGATTTATTTAAAAAAATTAAAATCGATTGGGACAAAGTGCGAAGATTAGTAACTTTTTTTTATTTTCTCGAATATGGATTAAATTATTAAGCTACGATTAGCAGTACAAATCAGCACAAACGTAACACAATGCAGCACAAATAATAAAAATACAAAATTCAAAAAGTGCAAGGCTAATTTCACACAGGTTCATAAATCACACTCATCGTATATAAAGCACGCAGCACATTTTGAAATGCTTCATTTTTTTAAAAATTATACCAAATATGCGAATAAATGCAAAGTAATGAATTCTAATGAAGATATACAGGGTGTTCAAAAAGTCCCGGTACGGAGGAATAACTCGAAAAGTAAGGGTCGGACAAAGAAACTTTTGGGACAAAAGTTGTAGGGCTTACTCCGAGCTTTTATCTCGTGACCTTGAGTTTGACCTTGAGCTTGACCTTCAAGGTTATTTGAAGGTCAAAGTGTTTTTCTTAAATGGGAACCCCTATTTTTGATTGTATATTCTTATAGCTGACCTCGAGAGCTTTCCAAAACACTATAATAAAATATTTTTCCCTCAAGCATTTATCGAGTTATGAGGCTTCAAATCATTTCTTAATTTTACATAAACCGTAAAATATCTTGTAAAATATTCACTTTTCGATTATTTTACCTTAATACTTTTATGTACAAAATAATGAGAGGAATCAATTGGTCTAAAAAAAAACACATAATTGTTCCGAAGAAAAAATATGTAATTTGCAATTAACAATTACATATTTTTTCTTAAAAACAACTGTATGTTTTCTTTACACGCAGCACATTTTGAAATGCTTCATTTTTTTTTAAATTATACCAAATATGCGAATAAATGCAAAGTAATGAATTCTAATGAAGATATATATATAACCAGCTACGTAGTCGACGTAGGCAATGTGTATGACAAATGTACGATCGTAGCGGCTATGAACAGAATAAAAAATTAACATCATCGAGACTATGTAATCTAACACAAAGGCCCGTATTTAATACTTCAAACTGTATTCAATTGAAAAGTAGAATGATTACTCACATGAAATTCGTCTTGAGATTTAAAATATTGATTAAAGCAGCGATTACGCGCTTCTTTGATTAACCTTTTTTTAAATCATAAGTAAATATATACAAAATGTCATCGCCACAAAAAAAGAAAAAATTTACATATATACATATATATCATATATATCATATTGATCATAATTTTCATAAATATCATATTGTTCATAATTTTCAATCCAATTCATTTTAATTAATCTGTACATTATCAAAAATTTTGTAACAAAAATATTTTCACTATTAAGTATAATACTTTTTACTATGAAGTAAAATTATTATTTATATTACTTATATTAATTATATATTAATTAATTATATTATATTAATTATATTACTTCGAACTACACTTGAGTGATACGCAATTTTTTCCAATTCTAATCTTAACTGATACAAAATCCAAAGACTATTAATATGTACAGGTGTGATTTTTTCTCAAGCAACGATTATTAAAATGCAATCAACATAACTCAAGCTGCATCTCAAAATAAACTTCCTCTGAGTATCTCTATTGAATCGAAATTATAAATGAATACCATATTGATTTTTAAGATTCATTTATTAAACCATATCATGTCTCAAAATTAAACCATATCATATCTCAAAGTTCCAGCTGAGTGTCTCAGCAGAATCATGATTATAAATACAGGCTTAAGTGCTGGCGTTGTATAAAATATGCGCTATTCTCACGATTATTTGCATATAAGTTCGATTGATTATAACAATGTCACCAATGACAAAGCATTGATTCCAAAAAATAAAGTTTCCTATTAAATACGAAATATCTAAAAGTCACTTTGAAGAAATGTTTAAATCATTTTCTCATCGCTAGAGATTCGATTCGATCGATTAACGATTCGAGAATAACGTTGCTTTCACTCTCTCTTTCCTGACTCTGCAAATTTTGTTTTTCAAAGTGTCATCACTTCCTTGAAATCTCTGATTTTATTTCGATAAAAATATGTTTGTGCGGAAGCGAAATATCATGTTCAATACACAGTGAGTTATGTGACTAAGAGTATTTACACAAGTATATTTACACAAAAGTGAATGAAAATACGTTTTCTGTTAAACGATAGTTCGATCATGGCTATTCGAAATATTTGTAAGTACATACGTTTGTCTTATGGCTTCTTGAAATATGATACACAATATTTCGTACAACGTTTATAAAAAGATACATGTATGTATGTGAAAGAAATATTATTGAAAAATATATGATCGACATTTGTTCATCCAAAAGATAATGAAACATTATGTTTCTTTCAGGTCTTAAATTGAAAACAATGAATTTGAATCAAAAATGAAGGTTTCTATGTTCTTCAAATCAATGTCATTTTATACACAAAAGTATATATACCGGGTGTCCCATTTCAAAAGTTCCACCCTCATAACTTTTTTTAATTTTGATTGTAGAAAAAAATGTTTCAGACAAAAGTTATATGGCTTGAAGGGGGACATAAGATGGTGTCAATAGTAATGATTTCAAGCCTCATAACTTGGAAAGTACATAATGAAAACTAAATTATAGTGTTTTGGAAAGCTCTCGAGATGAACTAAAAAAATATGCAAAAGCATACAGGGTGTCCCATTTAAAAAGTTAGATGTGACCTTCACGTGATCTTCAGGTGACTCTTCAATGTCAAACTAAAGACACCATCTTATGTCCCCCTTCAAGCCATACAACTTTTGTCTGAAACATTTTTTTCTACAATCAAAATTAAAAAAGTTATTCGGGGTCATCGATTAAAATGAGACACCCTGTATATATAATATATAAATTAATTACACGATAAATGACTGATAATTATATAATTTGATAATTGTTATCGATAGTGATACATAAAAATATTATTTATATTATATTTAAGATAAAAATGATTAATAATAGTTATAAATAAAAAAATAAAAATAAAATAAGAATAAATTAAAATAAGAAAAAATAAGATTTTTTGCTCCTATTTTTTTTATTCGTTTACAAAGATTTAATTCATGATATGCGCGTGCGCAATAATTGGGTCAACTTTTATCGTTCTGATTTGTGATAAACTTGTGATAACTTTTTATATTTCTATAAAACAAATTTTCATTAACTACTGTTGCAATAAGAAGTCATCTCTCTCGATACATCATATAAATAATTATTCTAAAAATAAATCATTTCGTACGTACCGCTTAATATATACTATAATACAACCTCATCAACATCAAGTCTTATCTTTCCAATGATGGACGTTTCTTGGACTCCCCAACAAAGTTATTAAAAATGTTGTTCAAGTTCTGTCTTATCTTTTTTTTTACAAGGCGATAATCTCGCCGGCGCCGAATAATTTCCTCGTGCGCGAGAACTTCGTGCGAGAAGGCACCTTCGATAATTGACGCGATCGCGAAGACGATGCCTGCGGGAATCACACTATCTCGAGTCGTCGGATTACGACGTACGAATACATGCTATGAGCGCACGGCAAAACAGGCTGAATGCAACGATGTCCCTACTAGTGAATTTAATAAATGTCACCTGTGGGGGAGACTAATAGTCCTGCACGCGCTCGCAATGTTCGCATATGGACGATCACTTTTTTCAAACGCTTATTAAAATAAGTGTAGTAGCTTTTTTTGCACCTATTTGCTCTTGTTATATAAATCAAAGAAACGTAAAAACGCGGTGTGTACAATTTTGATGTTTCGATTGCGATATACATTTTATTTTTCCATCTTACGCAACAAGAACAACAGATATAAATGAAAAAAATATTGTGTAAAGCATACGCGAACACATTGCTTATTCCATTAAAAATAAATTAAACTAAAAATAGTCAAGGATATAGAATATTGGGCATACAGAATATTGAATTGCAATTAAAATACTTAGAGATCAATTTTAGTATAGTTTAAACAAAGGTTGTGATGTTAATTTGAATTTTAATTCTTGATTAAATTATGCATCTGTAGAAAAGTTCAAATGTTCAAAAGTTCAAATATTGAAATGTCATTCGAACACTTAAAGTCAATCAAGTAATCAAGTTTAATATAGTTTCAAAAAGTGTATTAAAATAGCTATAAAAAAACTTACGACGTTAATTTGAATAATAATTCTTGATTCAATTGTGCATCTATAAAAAAATATTGTTTTATTAAGATAAAATTAAGGATATCCTATCAAAAATCGATTTAAAATAACAATATCGTTAAATCTCAATTAATAATTCTCACTATAATTCCATTATCTCAATTAATAATTCTTAATATAATTTCCAATTAATAATTTC